AAAAATTGAAAGGGCAAGAGAGCATCTACCTGCAGAGGAATGCTGGCTGCCATAGGCCAGCGGCCCTCATTACCTTGAAGACATTCTCAAATTTCAGCTTTGGGCCTCAGGAACTAGGTGCTGGCAGTTCCTCAGGGTTGACTGGCTGGGGGAGGCTGACACATCATATAACTCATGACATCAGATACCAAATGGCAATTGACTGCTTTAAAATGCAAACTACAACACCACAAATACGAACAGTTCTGTGAAAGAAAGGACCTAGGAGTCATGGGCATATCACCCTCTGTAGGAACACACACCGGAAGCCCAACCAGACTGCAGATAACATTCCTGGTGTATCCATCTCCACAGCAGCGAGGTCGCCTCAGGAATGTGTTGACTTGATATACCTCCTTTCAGGCACCCCCTGGACTGTCACATTCTTTCTTTTACACAAGTTAGCACCATTTACTTAGCAGAGGCTTTACACATGCTAACAGAGGCTCCTGAGGCTATACCTTGATCTCAGAAGAAGAAACATTAATCTTCTTGTTACATTTTAATTTTCCATGACAGTAAAAGGTACAGTAACTGCAGGACAGTCCTCTTCTGCCTTCCTAGGGTAATTAATCCTGAAAAACCTCATGTGGGGCCAATGTAAGTCAAAAACGTAATCACCGTTAATTTCAGTGGGAAAACATTTTATATGTTCCCTGAGTCCCAAAACTGATGCCCCCCATGCTAAAATACCAAATCTCATTAAGACGGACACAATTACATCAATAATTAACATTGGCTGGGGCCGGCCCGGTGGCACAGCAGTTAAGTTCGCACATTCCGCTTCAGTGGCCGGGGTTCACTGGTTCTCATCCCTGGTGTGGACATGGCACTGCTTGGCAAGCCATGCTGTGGTAGGCGCCCCACATATAAAGTAGAGGAAGATGGGCACAGATGTTGGCTCAGGGCCAGTCTTCCTCAGCAAAAAGAGGAGAATTGGCGGCAGATGTTAGCTCAGGGCTAATCTTCCTCAAAAAAAAAAAAAAATTAACATTGCCTATCATAAACACAAACTAAAGACATTTTCCCTTCATTAGTTATGACTGATTACATTATTATAAAATATGGCCATTTACCTGTTGTTTGTTAGCTTTTGTCATGCACATTTAAGATTAAATTTATAATAAAACTTACATACAAATGATACCAAATATTTGTACAACTCAACCTTTATTTTAAAAAAGAGTAATAAAATCAATGAAAACCATGCAAATGGTATTACCTTTACTAAACATGTGGAAATATAAGAGACATGATGTGTAAGATTATTTCTGCTATAAATAAGCAAAACTATGAGAAATCTGATGGGAGAACTTAAGGTAACATAAGCCAACTTCACCAACTAACATAGTGAAGATGATCCACAGTGGCTCTCTTCTTCAGGTGCTAGCAGCTCCAAGAAATAGACCCAACCAAACCCAGCCTGTTGATGCAAAGAAATGCCTTGGGTATCATTTAACTTTTATTGCAAAACAAACCACCTCAGAACTTATTGGTTTAACTTTAAAGCAATAAACATTATTTTTCATTGGTCTGTGGGTTTGCTGGGGGGTTCTTCTGGTCTAGGTCAGTACAGCTGGGCCTACATGGTCTACGATGGCCTAGCTCACACGTCTGGTGGTTGGCAGGCTAGTCGGTCTAAGGAGCCAACCTCATATGTCTAGCAGTTGGTTAGATGTCAGATGGGATGATGACCACATCTCTCATCATGCATCAGGTTAGCCAGGAGTTTTTCACAAGGTGGTGGAAGAGTTCTCAGCAGCAAGAGAGAACAAGCCATAATTGTAAGCACTTTTCAAGGCTTTTCTTGATCAGATTTGCTAATGTCCCATAGAACAAAGTAAATCACATCACCAAGCCTAGATTCAGAGAACGGAGAAACAGACTCCACCTCTTGATGAGAAGCTGAAAAATACCGTGGCTATTCCAGCCAATCTACTATAGCTTGGAAGCCAAAGCAGAGAGATTAAATGATATTACTTGTAACCAGATGGGTGAATATCTCAGGGTTTAAACATATTTCTATGAAGGGAGAGGGACTTTTCTGTTTCAACTACTGAGGTCATCTAGTACGGCTGCCCTCTTGGGTCCTCTACACCTGAGGCAAAGAGATAAAACCAAAGAAGTAGGCAGAGGTTAGGGCTCTGCAGGCCACATGAAAGAATTTAGGTCTTGATCCCAAGAGCAATGGGAAGCCATACAGTGTTTTAAGAAGGAGAGATAAGATCACTTGGGCTGCGGTGAGCACAGTAATTCTAGAAGCTCTGTCAGGAATGGGAATAGTGAGATAAGGCTTCAGTCACAGAATATGGCATCAAGAGAAATGTTTTTTGGTTTTTTTTGAGCAAAAGATGGTTGAAACTAGAGCTTGTTTGAATACTGATGGAAGGATTCAATATTGCAAGCGGTTAAAGGGAGAACCCTGAGAATTGGGAGGGAAAACTTGAGCACGCATGAAAAGTTTGCCTTTTAAAAAAAATCATCATATAATAAAATTGATTATATCTTTGTTGTACAGTTCGATGGATTTTAACACATGTATGGATTCATGTAACCACCACCACAATCAGGATACAGGAGTTCCATCACCCCAAAACCCTCCTTCTTGCTATCCCTATAGTCACTCCTCCATTCCTAATTCCTGGCAACTGCTGATATAGTCTCCATCACTATAGTTTTAATCTTTTCAAGAGTGTCATTTTGAGACTAGCTTCTTTTACTAAGCATAATGTCTTTATTGTTATGTTATTATAACGCCAAGTTGTTGGGTATATCAATACTTCATTCCTTTTCATTGCTGAGTAGTAGTCCATTGTGGTCATTCTGAAAGTAATCCCCAGGTCAGTAAATGATATCACTATTCTACCAGGTACTTGGCCCAAAAACCTTGGCAACATCCTTGACTCTATTCTCTAACCTATACTTCCAATCCACAAGGAAATCCTGCGGGCTTCACTTTCAAAATACACTTGGAATCTGACCGCTTCTTACCACCTCCCCTGCTATTACCTAGTTCAGGCCACGATCATCTTCTACCAGGACTAGTGGTTCCACTCTTACCCTTCCACTCCCATAGTCTATTCTCCACACGATAGCTAGACTGATCCTTTTAGAGGCTTAAATCTGATCAAGTCAGTTTTCTGCTCCAAACTCTCCAGTGGTTTCAGTGGTAACAATCCAAAGTTGTCACCAGGGCCTACAAGGCCCCACATGATTGGGCACCTGGTTACCTCTCTGAGCTCATCTCCTACCACTCACCCCCTCAATCACTCTATCAGCTGTAGGGGTCTCCTTGCCATTCCTATAGCACGTCAAGCATGCTCTTGCCTCAGCGCATTAGAACTTGCTATCTCCTCTGTCTTGAAAATTCTTTCACTAGATATCCACATGGCTCACCCTTATCAAGTCAATTTCAGTTTTTGCTCAAATGTCCCTTACCAATGAGTCCTTCTCTGACTAATATCTAAAATAGCAGCCACCTGACACCACTGTCTAACCCTGCTCTGTTCTTCAAAGCACACGTATGTTTTTCTGTCTCCATACACTACAAAGATCCTTGAGAACAAGGAATTTTTTTGTTTACCACTCAACAAGCACCTAGATGAGTGCCTCACCTGGCATATAGTGAGAGTTCAACGAATATTTTTGATTGAATACTAAATTACAGGAGGGAAGGACAGGATAGAAACACACGTAGATTTCTAGATTTTAGGGCATCCTCCATTTTTCTGTTACTTATACAGTAGGATAATCAGGGGAAAGAGTATGGGAAGTGTGGGGTTAGAGATCTGCAGACAGTGGAGAGCAAGTTAACTAGAAAAATATAATGAAATTTCCTGGCACTGTTCAGAGCCCATTTAAGGCTGAAATTACTAATTTAGTGATGCCAAACTATTCAGCAGGACAATTTTCTGTGACAGAGTACAGACATGAAGAAGCATGTTGGTCCATTCAGGGCAGAGGATTTGGCTGGGGAAAAGGTAGTACTGGGGCAGGCTTAAGAATAAGTAAGAGCAGGATTGTAATGATGTACCTTGAATCTAAAATGGATAAGGAGGGAAGTGAGGAGTGAGGATTAAGTACAGGCTTTCAACAGATTGGAGGTTCTGATTAAGTGAAAAAACAGTTATGGTGAAGTTCTTGAGCAGTCAAGCTTAAAGGATATCAGGCTGTGATTGGACAGAGGGATGTTCTAATTACTGAATCGTGATGCGATAGCGGTTCTGGTGACAAGGTCCAGGGTTTTGACTGGGATTGGGAGGCTGACATAAGGGTCCTTAGAGATGAGGCTCGGACGTTAAATGAGTTGTCCACATTGACTCTGAAATTATCAGGATGGAAGATGGTTAGAGGAGAGAAAGTAAGACAAGGAGCTGGATGCACAAATAAGCAGATGATCTCTACACTGGCAGCTGACAAAGTCTAAAAAGTAAGCGTCAGAGAGGCAAAGGTTTTTACAAGAGGCGACAGTACTGGGCACGCAGCCCCTCATCTTTGGAACCTGGGAAGTGAGAATACTAATCCATAAGAAGGGGTTCCAGGGAATGCTGCACCCTCAGGGGACGGCCAGGTCTCCGTCCAAGGAGTGTAGAAATTCAGAGAAAAGCCGATCTGGAAGCGGGAATCTCAGAGGAAGACTCATTGTCCTGTATTTACCTTCTTCAACCTACCGCCCGCGCCACAACAAACTCCGCAAACCAGAAAACACACAGAGAAGACTGCATGCAAACCAGCTCTTTTCAACTGCCCGCGGAAGTGCTCACACCGGAACTCCTCCGTGTCCGCGCTTTCCTATTGGCCGAAGCTTCCCCCAGCTTCAACCCGCTTCCGCCCACGACTCAACCGGGCGGGGCCATCCCTAGAAGTCACTTCCGCCTGACCCCGCCCATCGTTCCCTTTTTGGCCGCTTCCGGCCTCCGGCCCCGCCCCATCCTTGCGGCCCCGCCCCCGCCCCGCCCCGGGCCGGCAGCCCGGCCCCGCGGCGCCTCTTCCGGTGCGGGCCCCGCCCCGGCTGTGGCCCCCGGCTGCGGAGAAGTCCGAGACGCAGCTGCCGCGCCGGGGCTGAGCGGCCGCCTCCTGCACTGCGGGCGGACCGGAGCGCCCCGCGCAGGTAAGGCTCACGGGGCCCGTCTCCTTTGGCCGCCGCGGGAGCGGGGGTTGTGGCAGGTGGAGGGGACGGAGGAGTGGGAGGGGAGGCAGGTGTGTCAGGGGAGACGTGAAGGCGCGGGCTGGCGGAGCGTGGGGCCGTGGAGGAAAAGTGAGAGCTCTGGGAGGAGCCCGGAGGCGCCCTGCTCCCATCAGGGTGATTTGAGATAAAGGAATGGGAAGAGTAAGGGGCCCCCGGGAACTGAGAGGGCAAGGATAGGTGGGGTTGGGGTGATCGGAGAAGAGCCAGCGGATTGGCTGTGAGGGCTTGGTAAAGGTAAAAGTGATAGGGCTGGACCTGGGGGCGGGGGGGGTGGTGTAAAGAATGGGGGAGGGGGCTGGAGTAACCTGGGAGGGAGGTCTGGGGCTGGAAGGGGGCCGGGGCCTGAGGGATCCGCCGGCGAAGGTAGAGGGAACGGTGGGCGAGGCCGGGTTCAAAGCTGCAAGTAGTCCGTTGCGCTGGGCTTGGTGGTCCGGGAACTTTAGGGGAAATGGGGGAGGGGGCCGTATGAAGGGATGAAGTGGCTTAGATTTCTGAGACGTTAAGTTTTCTAAGTGTGGGCCGGTGGTATTGTTGTTTGGATCAACTGGCTGCTTAGGGACAGGGGGAAGATGGGCTCTTTGGGGGAGGGCGTGTGTATTGAGTTGTAGAACTGAGTCATCTCAATCTTACTAAAGAGGCCGTGAGACACCTCCCCCTCTGCTGGGGACAGCATGCAGAGAAGATGGTGCCACAAGACAAGAAGCAGTTGTTCAATGACTGGCAGGACTTGGTTGAAAAATTATCCTGCTTGTGATCGATTGACTGTGATGATTATAAGGAAAATTAAAATGACCACCGAGTTATTTGCTTTATTCTTTTGTTTCATTTTCTTTGAGGCAAATTGTTTTTATTTTATATGAACTCTTGTCCACTGGATTTAATGTGGGTGCAAATCTTTTCATGCTTTGTTACACTATAAAAAGGGCTAAGCAGAACGAAAGTATTGCTACAGGCATAACTCACACTTTCTAAGGTGCCAAGAGAGGAAGTAAAGGCAGTAAGAGGCAAATTGGAATTTGAATCTTTCACAGAATACACAGACTACAGAAGGCAAAAGCAGTGTTTCTAAGATAAACAGAAAATGAGAATTTTTTAATCTCCGCTTTTTGCCTAACTTTAAAAATTGTACCTTTTTTCTCTAACCCATTTAAAAACTCATAAGTCCAAGCAGTTTTTATTGCTAGGGATGTGATTATTTCCCCATGAATTTTTGGAAATGCTAAAAACATTTAGGTTTTTAAAATCTTTCTCCGCAATCCTAAAACAGTTCCACAGAATGCAAATATCAAGTCCTAACCTGTGCCACCCAGGTCCTTCTTTCATGTGATGACAACATTGTAGCCATGTTGCAAGTCCTGTTCACCTAAAATTTGCGCATGCATAGTAATCCGTTCAGTTTTGGAGCTTGCTGAAGAAAGTGAGGTTTGTGGGGGTGGGGGCCTGGAGAGGAAGAAGGGAAGTGGGGGTTAGAGGAGGAGAGGGTGTGAAAGGGGAGTGTGTTTGGAGACTGATTGGTAAGAATGCTGATAAACCTGCCCACAGAATACTTTTGGCCTGAAAGCCTTTTCTTTTTGTATTCATCATAGAATATCATAGAAGTGAATCAGAAAGAAAGGGGATGTGAAGAGATTTACTTGGCTGTTCATAAAAAAGAAACATTGACTTGTTGTTTAGACACTGTTGATATCTCTTTCAAATTAATTAACTTTAAAATCTCCAGAGGAACTCCCCCTTATTTGTTTTTGAGTGACTATTGCAATTTGAAACTCTTGCCTCCTCGCCTGTTTTCTTTCTTTCATGTTGTTGAAATTGGATTCTTTTTGAGGCTCTAATGTCAAGTTAGCGTGGTTCAGCCCACAAATGCTGGCAGTTTGATCTGGGAAATTTGAAAAGTTTAAACCCCAGAGCATTCTGCTAGGTTCTGCTTTTCTGTGAGAGAAATCTGTCTGCCTGATAGTTGTGTGTCTACCTGATGGTGCTTTCTCTGATGGGCCTGGGAACCTAAGCACTATTCTCTCTTTGGTAGGCAAGCCCTTCTTTCCCTTTATTATTGTGGTTTTCATACTCACAACCTTTGTACAGTGCAAAAACCCAGTTGCCTTCTCAGTAATAAACAGATTAATGTTTGATAATGTTGAGGGAGAGAGCACACAGATGTTTGCAGGCTAGATATTGTCTAGATTTACGTCTTTTTAAACCCACAGTAGTCACCACTACTGAGATTCATCCTTTATTTCTCCTCTTAAATCCTATTCCTCTTCTTCATACTCTTCCTTACCCACCTACCTCTCCACTCCTCCCCGAGTCCCACCACTCACTCACCTTAAAACTGAAGTTTAGGGACATATGTTTAGTGTTCAGAATTCATGCCCTTTCCTGGAGAAAAGAAAGCCTTCTTGTACTTGTTTTACATAGTGTTTTTTTTCTCTTTTGTGGTTTCTATCAATCACTTAAGGTTTAGGCCCAGTGTGCCTGCTGGGCTGTGCCCACATTCAGAGCCATGCCAATCTGTGGGTGAAGCTTGAGGTAGTGATGGAGCCACAGCAGCAGCAGAAGCAGCAGCAGCAGCAACAGCAGCAGCCGCCACCACAGCCACCACCAGCACACCTGGCTGCTCTGCAGATGGATACCAGAGAGAAACAGGGACAGCAGATGAGAGAAGCCCAGTTCTTGTATGCCCAGAAGCTGGTCTCACAGCAGACTCTCTTTTCTGCCACACCTGGGAAGCCTTCTGGTAGCCCTGCCCTTGGTCCCTTAGCCAGAGTTCCGCAGGCCCCAGCAGTGACCCGAGTTTTTGAACGGAGCAGTGTGAACTCAGAGCCTGAAGAAGAGGAAGGATGTTTGGAAGATGAGGAAGGGGATGACGAAGTTACAGAGGTGGCTGAGAAGGAGGCCCAGGCTGCTTCAAAATATTTTCATGCGCAGAAACTGGCTCGCCAAGACCCCAGAGCAGCACCTGTGTCTGGTCTACTTCCAGCACCAGGGCTCCCACCACATGGACAGCAAGCTAAAGAAGACCATACCAAAGATGCTTCCAAGGCCCCACCTTCAGTCTCCGCAGCTGGGCAGCCAAGCTGGAATCTGGATGAGCAGCTCAAGCAGGTCAGTCTTTCTGGCATGTGAGGTCCTTTATTCTTCCTAAAGGCTAACCAGAGAAGGTACTAGATTGCCAGGGCTAGGGTCTCTGCCAGTCTGTGCCTTCTCGTCCCACTTCAGTGACCAGCAGCCTAGATATAAAAAGACTTTGAATTTTTTTCTCACATTTGTTTTCTTGATTAAAGAAATGAAATGTGTAAGTTATTCCTAATATAGATTGTTCCAGGTTTGATGTGAAAGAATATAAGTACAATCCCTTTTTTTTTTTAAAGATTTTATTGTTCCTTTTTCTCCCAAAGCCCCTCGGTACATAGTTGTGTAGTTTTAGTTGTGGGTCCTTCTAGTTGTGGCATGTGGGATGCCTCCTCAGCGTGGCCTGATGAGTGGTGCCATGTCCGCGCCCAGGATTCAAACTGGTGAAACCCTGGGCCACTGAAGCGAGCGTGCAAACTTAACCACTCTGCCACAAGGCCGGCCCCTCCTTTTTTTTTTAAGGAAGAATGAGGTTGCAGCAATGTTATGAGGCATATCTAAAAATGAGATATGTGACTCTAATTATAGTTTTTCTAGTAGTAACGTAAAGAGCAGTCTTGCCTAAGACAGTGTCTTAGCCCCAGGCTAACCCAGGTTCATGCCCTTTAAGGACAGTTTTGTTGTTTTGCAGCTAAACAAACATCCTTGCTGAGAAGCTTTTGCATTGTATGTATTTTCCAGCAAAGAGCCTTGTAGACATGATTTTATTTCACCTTATATATCGCCTCCTTTGAAACAGGAAAAGGTAGACCTCACAATTGCCTTTTTAGCCAAGGCAAGTTGCAGTGATTCCAATACATCGCTGAGCATAAGAGTCATCTAGGGAGCTTTAAAAAATACAGATTCCAAGTCCTAATGAATTATCTCAGGGGGTGGAGCCTAAGGAACCTGTGTTCTCAACCAAGCTTTGACTTCTAATTTCTCTTCTCTTTCTGACCTGTAATGCAGCTTTTCCTCACCCAAAGAATGGGAGTGATGATAAGTTGTTCCGGGTTAAGTGTCTTGTTGGTGCTTAGGCAGGAAGTTCATGATAAAGCTGGTAATATCTGTCTGGGTACTCCCCATAAGCATATACTCTTCATGTAGTCCACTGGTGCTGTTTAGAAATCAGTTGTGAGGAGCAGTGGGTTTATTCAGTGCAACTGAGAAGTCGTGTAAAAAATGTCCTTTGGAACCTGAAAAATCAGCATCTTTGTATCAAGGAGCCCTGTGCAGTTGATCTGAGTCTTACAATAGCAGTGTTTGCAGAGTTTCCAGAGCCAACAAAGTGAGGTTCAGATCCCATCTCTTCCATTCATTACCCTTGTGATCTTTCGGTAGGGCTCTTAATTCCTCTGAGCCTGTGTCTTCTCCTCTGTGAAATAAAAATACTGAAGTGTACCTCCAAGGATGTTATGAGGACTAACTGAGCTAGCACATGGTAGGTAGTATTGCTCCAGGCGCACTTTTATGCAAATAGTGCCATCCTCTGCTGCATCCACACAGACATGCTCGGAAGCCCCGAAGGTGCTGAGATGCGTAGAGGTTTTCCCTCAGATCACCTGGGAGGTAGTGGCAGAGCTAGGAGTAGGATCAGAGAATCCCAGCTTCCACGACAGCGGCAGCCTGGCTGCCAGCCCAGACCCGCCTCCTGGCTGATTGCTTTGGTTTAGCAAAACATCTGTGACTTGCCGGCTGCCCCCGCATTGCTGTGGGGTTGGCAGAGTTCCATGCCGGCTGCTGAGTCAGCTCATAGTGGGATCCCGCCCTGACAGCACTGGGAAAGTTCAGGCCCGAGGCGGCTGGGCTGCCCCCACCTTGGCAGCTGGCCAGCCTCTGCATGTGTGCGGTCGTTCCTAGAAAGTGCAGCCGCGTGCGAGGAACAAGTGGAGCTCCAGAGCCTGTCTGTCTTCAGGAAGTGCAGCAGGTGTTGAGGTCAAGCCATTAGAGCTTTGAAGAAAGAGACTGTTTGGAACGGGCGTGTGCAAGCACACATGTGTGCACCGTGGCCGGCACCCAGCTCTGTGTTCTGGGCGGCAGCAGCCCCATGGCTACACAACTCCGTGCTCAGGAGGGTGGCTCTTGGCTTCTGAAACCCTTTGAGTTCATTTTAGGTTTCTGAGGCTTACTCGCTAATTATAGACTGCCTGGCAGAGCACCTGCCAAAATGTTTTTAAATGCCAGCATAGCTGAAGCCTAATCTTGCACCCTAACTTTACCTCCCCCTGGGTTTGGAGATTGAGAACTGGGTTAGTAGGTCATTGGGTAACAGTGACTTAAAACCTTAGATGTGCATCTCCTTTTCCCCTTTTGAATTTAGTTTTTCAAAACTGATTTGGCCTGTGTCATCCTCCTTTGTCTAACCCCACTTTTAAAGTAGTAAATATTGTGTTTGGGAATTTAAAAAAAAACTTTTTAGTTGTGCTTTGGAAGGGGGACTAAGAAAATAACATCCTTAGGGAGAGCCTATGGGAACCATTACAAACTATGAGACTAGCTTTTTTTAATTGTCCAGTCTTTTGTCTCTTATGCAATTAACTTCTAGAGAGCAGAAGTAGAGTGTCACTTGCTCCAGCAACAATTAACAAAGATCTTTTACAGTTGATGCAAAATGATCTTGTTAATATGTTACAGTGTCCATTTTGTTCTTTTACACAACAAACTTTTACAGAGGCTTGTTGGGTCAGGCCTCTGTTCCCTGGACAAAGGCGTGCTTCTCCCTCAAAGAGCTCGGGGTCTAGTGGAGGCAGAGCGGGAACCTCAAGGGAAACTGGGTCCTGAGTCAGCTGAAGCGCAACTGCCCAGTCTGAGCTGTGCTGCAGATATTTTAAAATAGGATTTTGTTTCAAACGTTCCTACACCAATACAAAAGTTGATTTCGTCTACAGCATAGCTTGGTAAACCAACAGGAGTACTCAAAGTAATTTTAAGAGGTTGGGGAGGGACAGGCAGCAGGCATTTGTCAACTGAAAAACAAAATTTGAAAAGCTTAAGGGCTTTACAGATTATTTTTTGTGTCTGAAATTCCTTTCTTAGAACATGTAAAATCAAAATTATTTCATGGATTCTCTTTGAAGAAACTCTTAGAAAATAATTGCTGAGGCCTGGATTGTTAGAAAGAGCATGGCGTTCTCTGATGCCAGAGTAATGGGAAATGGATAATGCCGTTGAGCCGAGGGTTCTAAAGCCCATCAGATTTCCATGGGCAGAGTAAATAATTGTAAAACAAGACAAGAAACAAAGAGCTGAGTGTCCCTTCTCTCGAGGGAAATCAGTAGAGCCCTGTCAGCATACAACCAACTGGGGGGTGTTGCTGGCCTATTAGGTCTTCTGTCCTCCTGGGAAGAGGTCGGTTCAGGCAGTACAGGCTTTGTCTGTCTTGAGCCCATTAGTGGAGCTAGTTTTCCAGAAGGGCACAGACTGTCTCCCATAGAATAGAAAGATGAGCGATGGCTTGATAGGCATGTGGGAGCCAGAGTGTGTGTGTCTGATTCTCTGCATACTTTGGCAGGCAGTCAGTTTGGTTACTGAATGTGAAGAGGAGAAGGATGCTTAGTCTCCAGAATCTATTACCAAGAGTCCCTCTAAGTAGTAAGGTCTGGTCTCCTGGGCTGGGCCTATTTTTCTTGGTATGTACTGCATGTCTTTGAAACATCTGATGCTTTTTGTAAACATTGTACAAACTATTGCCTGAAAATAAATAAGGTCATAAGCTTTCACCAGTTTCTTTGTAGGTCTCTCTTGCATGCCCTCAACTTCTATAGTAACAGTGAAATTCATCCAGATCAGTGTTCCTCAACTGGAGGTGATCTCCTCCCTACGCCCCCACCCCCCCCACCCCTGCCCCCGGGGGATGTTTGGCAGTGTCAGGAGACATGTTTGGTTGTCATGACTGCTGCCTTGGGGGGAATGTGCTACTGGCATATAGTGGGTAGAGGCCAGGGATTCTACTAAACATCCTACATGCACAGACAGTCCTCCACAACCAAGAATTATCTGGTTCAAAATGTCAGTAGTACCAAGGTTGAGAAACCCTGCTTTAGATTGTGTAATTAGAAAGAGATCATATGTTGTGCTTTCATCAGACACTGCCTTGGACTCTGTTCATTTGTGTTTTGGTCTTGGTAACTGAGAAGTTTGGCAACCTTGAGTTTTCTTCACTTCTGTTTTCAATAACCATGTTGAGTTCATGTCTTCACCCATAGTCCTCTGGGTGAGCAGACTCTGTCACTTGAGAGAGGATTGGGACCTAGAACGTGCACTCATTCTTCCAGCCCAGCATTCCATGATGTCTAGGATGTCTGTGGTGATTTGTGAGAGAGCTTGATTGCTCTTCTAGACATTAACCCCAAAAGATTGAGGTGTAATTACTCAGCAGACTTGTTACGTAACAGATTTAATTATTAAATCAGCCTTGATTTTAGAGCCAAAAGATGGGCATTTAGATCCCAGCTCCACCACTTGCTTTCTATAGTACTTGGGACAGGTGTCCTAACCCACCTTTCTGAACTCGTGCATACATCTATCCCAGTGGATGATAATCCTCTCCTGCCATCCTCCCGGAGCAATTTTAAAGATATTACAAAGGTGGAAGAGGAATATGAGTGTGAAAGATCTTGGAAAAGCTATACCATCATACAAAGTTTAGGTCGAATTGTCATTAGCACCTAAATACTTGTTGAAGCTATAATTTTTCAGTATTTACTATCTTTGTAGGTAAGATGCTCCATAAATCCTAGACTCTAAAACAACTCCTTTTCAAGTTTTCAAGAACTGTGACCAAACTCTAGTATTTTGGAGTTGTCTGAAACATTTCAGGATTATGTGAGCTAAAACCGTTGCACTTTTGAAGCCACTTCTTTCCATATTAAAATAAGGATATGTGCATATTTGTTCTTTAGTAAGCTTTATTTATATTAAATTCTTATAAATACATGATCAATGACTTAACTTGGGTCCTTATCCATCTTACCAGAGACTATTCCCTCCTGATT